CATTGGTGTTGTAGGACAGGCGAAGGTCCCACGTCGCCATGTAGGTTGTATTCGGTCCACTTCTGCAATACCACCATTCACCACTTTTGATCAAGAGTGTTGCGGGTAAGCCAGGAATTCATGTCTCCACGTACCGCCGCTCCGCTGAAAGAGGACTTGCCACGCCGACCATCCAGAAGCCTGTTCTGGAGGCGAACGAACTGTCGAACCCGTCGGCAGTGGTCGAGATGAGGGCGCCCTGGTCGAACTGCACCCCGGCATCTGTGAGAACGACTGCGGGTAGAGGATGAACCGCGACTTGCGGGGCGACAGATGCGTGAACGCGAACCGGAACGCAGAGGCCCTTTTCCGTTCCGTGTCCTGCCGCTCGTCCAAGGGGATGTAGACCGGCTTCTCGATGGTGCTGACCCGCTCCTCTTGGAGGAGGCCGGAACCCTCCGAGAGGGAGGCGTGGTAGAAGTGCAGGGGCAGTTCATCGTCGCCACTTCGCCCAGTCCGGCGAGGGCCAGGGCTGCAGGCAGGACTAGGGCCAGTACGGCGATGGCGGCCAGCGCCGACCGCTGCCAATGTCGCAGGCGGCCCAGAGGAGGAGTCATGTTGTCAGTCAGTCAGATGGTGGAGTGGTTATGGTACAAGTGGCGGTGGTGGACTTGATGTGCCGGTGGGTCGGATGCGAAGTGGCCTTAGGGCTGGTAAGGGTCAGAAGAAAGGATCGCCACTCGGCGCCATGTGAGTGGGAGCTGCAGGACGATCACCCAACATCAAGGTTGTACGAACACCACCCCCGCAACAATCACAACCGCGCAATGATTGGCCTTGCGAGGGATCCCCTTCTTCGGCGTGGCTCCGGTTCACTCTCACCCATTGGATCCCTCCACGCGCCATGTGACCGCGGTTCACTAATTGTGTCCTGGTGTGTGAATCAATGTTTATGTACATGGAGGGGGTCGTTGACCTTACCCTTCGCCGCCGGCCTGAGGGCCAACCTTGGCCGTGTGGCGATGGTGTGCATCGAATGGTGTGGAGAGATGGCAGCTGAAGTTGTTCAGTTGACGAGCTTGGTGCGTCGGCCGAGAGTGCGCTTGGCCACGGTCGCGGGCTTCACCTTGGAGGGCGCGTTCTCCTTGTCAAACGAATCTTCCATGAGCTTCTGCACAGTGCAAAGTGGATGGATGTTAGGTCGGGTCGGACCAGGAAGTGGGCTTGAGAAGGAGGTACGTACCAAAGGAGACTCCTCAATCTTCTTCTTGAGCCTCTTCTCGGGCGTGAAGGCGTCCCGGAAGAGGTTGCTGGCTTGCTTGGCCTTCTGCCTGATGAGGGTGCCTCCGCCCTTCTTGTGCTTCTGTCCCGAGGAGGAGGCCTCTTCATCGTCGCTCGATGCCTGCTCCTCCTCGTCCATCTCGTCGCTGACGCTCTCCTCGCTCTTCCTCTTCTTCTTCGCTGGCGCCTTGGTGGCCTTCTTGGCGGCAGTCTTCTTGGCGGCGGTCTTGGCCACCTTCTTCACCGCCTTCTTCGGCTTCCGCGTCTCCTTCTCGTCCTCCGATGCCGACTCCACGTTCGAGTCGTCAGACGAATCGTCGGACACGTGCTTCCGCGTCTTCTGCTGGCCGTCTCTCTTCCGCTTGGCGGTCTTGCTTTCGTAGGGGCTGTCGTGAGCCGCAGCTCCCCTCTTGGCGGTGCCAGCGCGCTTGCTTGACTGCTGGAAGGCATCGTCGTCCGACAGGGTCTCCTCGGAGCGGAGGTCGGTGACAGTGTCCTCCTTGGGCGGTGTGACGACGATCGTGGGAATGGGGGACAGGCGCGTGGGCGTGGACTGTCCGACGGTCGCCGTGCCCTTCCTAAGCTCCGCCAGCTGGGCCTGGCAGGACTTCTGTGACCGAGTCACGTCGCCGTGTGAGGCGAGTTGCATGAACATACAGAAGATGAGCAGCGGCACGTACCAACTCTTTGCGGTACTTCTCCATGTCCATCAGCTGAATCTGCAACGACTTGATGGTCTTGTCCTTGGCCGCGACTGTTTGCTCCAGCTGAGCATTTCGCAAAGTTAGCCGGTCGTACATGCAATGAGAGAACATCAGGGCCGCGTGGTCGCGTACCTCCTTGTACTGGCACTTCCAGTGGTTGGCGTCCATCTGCGCGGCGAGCTCCTCGAGAGCGGGCTTGGTCGACTGCGTCGGCTGTTGCGGCTGCGAGTCCTGGAACTGGATGAACTGGCTGAGGATGGCAATCTTCTGCTCGTACTTGTCCTCGGCGAAGGCCCGAGCTCGCTCGACGCTCTCGCGGCCCATCACCTCCATCTCCTGCAGTCGCTTGGCCATCACCGACGTGCACTCGTCCCTCACTTCCATCTCCTTGTTGGCCAACTCGACGTCCTTGTCGTAGAGGCGCTGGTGCATCTCCTCCAGCTTACGCGTGAGCTCTTCGATCGTCCCGCGGGCGTTACCCAGCTCAGCGCTCGGGGCAGCAGGGCGGGCCACCGACATAGGCGTAGCGGGCACTCGTCCGGCTCGCTTCATGTTGGTGCTCACCTCCTTAGCCGTGTTGGCAAAGTCCAGAACGGGGATGGTCTCGTCAAAGTCCTCCTCAGCGGGGCTGATGTTGATGATCATCCGGCCCTTGGCTTGGCCGATGAAGAAGTCTCGCACAGCCTGCGTCAGCTTCGACTCACGGTACGGGATGACCTGCAAAACAGTCAAATGGAAAGCACACCGCCCACGAGGTAAGCGGTAATGCCGAGAAGCTTGGACGGAAGGGGGGGGGCGTACTATGTTGGTGGCACCGCGCTGGATGGCGACGATGGCATCGACGCACTTACGGAAGGTCATGAGGGCGTTGTTGATGTGGCCGGCCTCCTTGAGGCGGGTGCCGGTGTTCTGTGTGCGCTTGGCTCGCTCGGAGCCGGCGAGATCGACGATGCAGAACTGGACTGTCGTAGTACAGTTGGGCGCCTTGTTCCTGACCATCTCGAGTGTGTAGCCCGGGTTGATCTTCACCAGCTTGATGGTGAACAGTGAATGCGACCGCGACGAGTCGTGGTTGAGCTGGGTGCCTGCCACCTGCCTGTTCTTGAGGCCCTGCTCCACCACCTGAGTGGCGGCCTCCATGGTTCCGATCGGTTGCTCCGACACGCCGCCAAAGTAGGTGCCCTTGTCGTTGGCCGCCTCCTTGAGTTTCAGCTTCTCGCGCTGGTTGAGGAGATCGTAGAAAGACTCGCCGTAGACCTCCACGAAGCTCGCAAGCAGGAACATCTGCTTCTTCCGCAGCTGCGGGCGGACCTGAGCGAGGATCTGCTTGACAACCCGAGGCAGTATACCTTCCTCTTCATCTTGGCCGTAGATCGTATACGTCTTGCCTGCACAGGATAACAAATTAGTCTTTCACTAATGGGCAAGCATTCGGAGGCAAGGATCGTGAGAACGTACCTGCATTGGAGTTGCCGTAGGCAAATAGGAAGCAATTGCGATCAGACTCGAGAAAATCGGTGACGAGGGGCTGTGCCACGCGCTCGAAGACCTTCTCTTGATTCGCGTCCTCGGTGAACACTTCGTTGAACGAGAATGTGGTCTGCTCGGTGCGGTCCTGCTCGATGCGAAGATGAAAATGTAAAAATGGAGCGCAAATGATTATCGATGTGAACCTACAGAGCTCGTACCTTGGTCGGCACAACAATGGAAGTGGTGGTGGAGTCGATGAGCATGGACTTTTGGCCTTCCGACACGGGACGCACACGAAGGAACACATCAATCAGCTCCTTTTGCTCGCCTATCTCGTACTTCTTCGCCCGCTTCATGGGTGTGAAGCTCGCCCTGAGGGGCGTCATCGTCGATGAGCGAGATGGCGCGGGTGAGGGTGGCACCCCTGCGCTGGTGGGATCTTCGTTTCTGAGCCGCTTTGATCGAAGCATGTTCTGGAGCCCTTGCCTTCTTTCTAATCACTCTTGTAGCCAATCTGCAAGCTTGCGCCAACTCAGGTTGGCGTTGTGTTTGGGCGCCCTTCATTTTGGCGCGAAAAAGGTCCGTTACCGAACCGGTTGGACGAAAACTGAAAAATTGAAAGAATCAAGAGGGGGGAGAATCGCCCGGTCGGTAGGAGCGGACAGAAGGGCAGCTTCTCAGGCGGCGGTGCGATGATCTGCACACTTTCATCCTTTGCTGTAAAGAACGCGCAAATGCGCAGCGGCCACGCCGAAGCCCCCGCCACATGCGGGAACACCTACAAAAGGGAAGGCGCCAGTGAGTGACTGCCGGGATGCTTCAAGAAGGGAGCCGGAGGGGTGGTGCACACCAAGGGCTGATAGACCATGTTGAAGTTCTTGTAGAAGATCACGTAGGGGTGCACGTCGTGGTGATTGCGGCGATTGGAATGCGTTTCCGTTACAGTGATCACCCTGCCATGCGCCAGGTGAACCTTGTAAGTTATTCAGGCTAGGCAGCCAATTTGTGGGTAGAGCGGCACGTACTCGGCCCATCCCGATGCACTTGACGTCGCTGTCTTGAGATCACGCAGGCCAACTTGTACGGTGATGATGTCGCCTTTTGTGAATTGCGCCGTCTCCGTATCCTTTGCACTGAGATTGGCATGAGTGCGCATGCCATGCGGAGCGTCAACACGAAAGAGGTAACACGTGTACTTGAAGGGAGCGTGATTGCCGTTGGCGTGGATGTCCCCATCGTGATAGTAGCTTGCCATGAAGGAGACGCTCTGCCGCGCCTGTGATAACCACGAGACCGCCGGAAAAAGGACCGATAGTCCATGCTCTGGCTTCTCTTCCTTTTTGCTCAGGCCAAGGAACGAGTACCACTTCTTCGACTTTTTCTTCATCTGTCCGCCTCCTTCTGCCTCCTGGCGGGTCTTGTTGTATGCCGCGTAGTCGCTTTGTGTAGTGACTGCCAAACAGAAATAGTAGCCTGGATGTTTGGGGGTGAGCATTCAACGCGAGATCGGACCAACTTCTGTGGGGTACTGAGTGCGTACTGGGGTCACAGTCGATGAGAAAGTGCACCACCGCAGTCGTGGCGTTGGGGTTGGCACGCACGCAGGCGTAGACCTTGGAGTCCACTGAGGGATAGCGCGTGTGGGAACCTGGGAAGCGTGCACGTCGGTCGATTTCGTCTATGAGCACTTCACTACCCTCGACTTCTTCGAAGGTGGGCAGGGTCAAGACCTGGCGTGGCGTGAGCGCAACCATCACACCACCAAGGGCAAAACAAAAGGACAGGAACATGACAGCACCTCGGAGAGTTGAGCATTGGCACGGACGATGGAGTGGAAGTCCCGGCACACCAACGCCGCCACAGCCACGTCGTGCTGCCCCCCCCCCGCAAAGAACGACACACATGTTTCTTTTGAGCGAAAGAAAAACAAAAGCAAAGCAAAGATTAATAGCCACGTACACGCGTGGTGAGGAAGGACAGTATGTGGTCCCACAGCTCCTGTGGCAGGGTGTTCGTGCCTTCCATCTTTCGGTTGCTTGAATAGAAGCTGGGAGCCAGTCCAACTGCGCCGAAAAATGTGCTTGCCCCAGGTGAGGGTCGAACTCACGACCTCTGCGTTATAAGCACAGCGCTCTACCAACTAAGCTACTGGGGCTTTCGCAACCGCTGGAAGTGGTGGGATGCTGCGACAAACTTGCGTGCTCTTTTACACTACCGCTCATTCATCTTTTTTGCTAGCGATCAGCAGCGCGTGCAGATGGAATCCGTGCTCCCTTTCTGTACCCGCCCATGCTTTCAATCGCAATTGATGGTGCATGCCACCATGCATCATTTCATCTTTGAACTTACCTGGGAGAGGTGCAGGGGCGTCCTCTTCGCTCTGGCTTGTTGCCGTGGGCATGCTGTGGGGCTGCACCAACCCACTCATTAAGCTGGGCAGCAAGGGCGTCACCGATCTGCCGAAGCGTTCCCACCCGGTCATGCAGTTCCTTGCCGAGACCTTCTTTCTTTTCACACGATGGCAGGTAGGTGGTGATTGACACAGGCGCGCAATTCGGGATTTGAGATTAAGATTGTTGTGCGTTGCGCAGTACCTAGTTCCATTTCTGCTCAACATGTGCGGCTCCGTGGTATTTTTTTGGTCTCTGGGAAGTGCTGGTACCTCAGATCCCCCCCCATCCCTCGCGTGACTTCGTGGTTCGCTCACTCAGCTCATGCAGAAATATCCTTGGTGGTGCCAATCACCAACTCGCTCACCTTCCTCTTCACCACCGTGACGAGCCAGCTGCTCGGCGAAACTCGCGGGGTTAATCGATGTACGCACTTTCGTTTTTTCATCCCGCTCTCACTCACTTTCCTCATCTATCGATTGCTCCAGCTACACTCGCAGGCATGGCTCTCGTCTTGATCGGAGTGTCCATTTGTGTCACGAGCAAATCGTGAGCGCTCCCTTATCTTTCGTCTTCAGCGGTGTTGCCCTAGCTACGAGGCAAGCATGCGACGAATGCCGGAGAAGGGAGAAAATTAATGAAGGTGGCCCGTACAACAAGAGTGGCGGAGGTTGGACCGCTGGTCGTTCTGCAGACTCTCAGCTTCACCTGTTGGCTTCTTCGCGCTGCGCACCATTCTCTCTCCTCCATACTCTCACGCCAACTTCTAACGAAGAGGAAGACCCACCCCGTCTCTTCACGCCCTTCGTTAAAGCACCATCTTCTTCTTCTTCGCTGCTCCGCGCAGCTTGACTTCATCAGCACATCAGCCTCATCTACTTCCGGGACTCCAACATAACATAGCTGAGCAGGATGTTTGCTCCCTCTCACTTCCACTCGCACTACTTCGACGACGGCTGCTCTACAGATGAATTCATCGACGCCGAGGTCAAGGTCGACCTGCAGCACGTCGAGTTCAAGGGCCTCCGCCTCTCCTCCCTCCCTCCGCCCCTCCACCATCACCATCTCGGCTCCGACCCCATGTCCATCGTAGATCCCATGCTCGAAGAAGATGGCGACCAGATGCTCGAAGACGCGGACCTCGCCGACTACGCCTATGCGACGGGCTTCGGCGGGGGACTTGTCGGGGCGACCAACAACATCGAGGTGCTGCCCAACGAGGTGTTCGTTCTCATCTTCTCCTACCTCGACTCCCGCGAGCTCCTGACCGTCGCCTCCACCTGCCACCGCTGGCGCCACCTCGCCGAAGGTACTCTTTCTCTCCGCTGTTGCTCTGCTGAAGCTCGGCCCAACTCATTTCCATGGGCTTTGTTCAACAGAGGAGACTCTGTGGAAGCAGGAGGTGGTGCGCGGTTGCCGCTCGCATAGTAAGGCCCACGCCCTCCTCAAGCACTACACTCCCCTCCTGGCCGGTACGTCTACACCACACCCTCCTTCTCCATTGGCGGGTTGATGGTCGCTTTCGTTCTTTGATTCTCGCTTTACCGTCGCTTTCGTTCTTTGCCAGCGTAAGTGACATTCGTTCTTTTGTATCGGTGTAGCTTCGAGCAAGGAGGCCGATCGGGAAAGGGCGACGGGTCAGTCCCGCTGGAAGTCGGTCTGGCTCGCCCAGAAGAAGACCAAGTACGCCACTTGCACTCGTCGCTCCACGCCGTCAAAACGAAATCTGCGGAAGGACGCGGCAGGTGGTTAACGCATGTATTGTCAACGCAGGGGCAACTGGCGCAAGGCCGCCTTCCGCAGACGTCTGCTGCCCAAGCAGCACACGGCCGCCGTCTTCTGCCTGGCGTTCGACGACGAGCACATCGTGACGGGCAGCAGCGACCACACCGTGCAGGTGTGGGACATCAACTCTGGCGCCCCTCTGCGCAGCCTTACCGGCCACCAGTACGCCGTGTGGAATATCAAGGTATGCGCCACCGTCCACCACCCACATCGCGAGACAGGAAGTGGCATTGCCACACCAAACTTTAATTAACACAAATTCCGGGTGTGGGATTGGTCCAATGCGCGTAGTTGGTGGGCTCGACCGCCATCTCGGCCTCGTACGACGGCACCCTGCGTCTGTGGGACGTCAAGACGGGCAGGAACCTCAACACCCTCCGCGGTCACGCCTCGTACGACCCGCCCGCCAGCCTCTTCTTTCACTGTTAGCCCTCCCCCCATCCAATCAAAGCTGAACTAACCGTTGGGTTCTTACAGGGCAATCTGGGGACTTGATGCAATGGGCAACAAGGTCGTGAGCAGCTCCACCGATACCTTCATTCGCCGTACGTCGATTTCCAGCCATTTCCGTCGTATCAGGCGCTGTGACTCACAGACGCGCCCCGTGATACCAGTGTGGGACATGGAGACCGGCGAATGCGAGCGTCGTGTCGCCGCCAACCAGGACACGATCTGGTGCAGCCAGTTCCTCGACCAGAACACGGTCATCACCGGCGGCGCCGACATCAGGGTACTCTCTCGTCGCTCTCTGCCCTCCTGACCGTGACTGCACGCGGGGCGAATGCTAACACTGCGTGCGGTTGGTACCAATGCATTAGATCTGGGACTTGCGTGTCAATACGGGCAACGAGGGCGAGTGCACGCCCGTCTCCCAGTTTTCGGGCCACAAGGACGCCATCCGCTGCCTGCAGGCCGACTCCAACTACGTGGTGTCGGGCTCGTACGACAGCACGGCCGGCGTGTGGGACAGGATCGCCGGCAAGCGCCTATGGGAGCTGAGCGGCCACACCGACTCCATCACCACCCTCCAGTACGACACCTCTGGCATGCTCATCACCTCCTCCTTCGACCAGTCCTTCCGAGGTACCCTTCGTCGCCAGTGCCACACTCTCTCTTTCGCATTCTTTTCTTTTGATGATGTCGAGAGCTGAATTAATCCTGGTCTGGGGTGCGTAGTGTGGGACATCAAGGACGGTACGCAGATGACGATGTGGGGCAAGGCCGACGAGGAGCAGGGCAAGTTCGAGGTGCAGCGCGTCGATCACAACGAGACGGCCGAGTCCGTGGAAGACAAGGGCGGCAAGGTCTACACCCTCCGCTTTGATGACCACCGACTGGTAGGCCCTCCCTTCCCTCCCCTATCCTAGTGGCCCACCACGCAAGATCGCTCACGTTGGCCTTTTTCCCTGCGTAGATCACTGGCCGTGAAGACTGTCGCCTGAGGATTGACGACTTCTCCGCCCGTTCGCTGTACTAAAAACCTTGCTTGGCGTCCCCAAGAGACATGGAGAGAGAGAAAGAGAGCGAGAGACGCAACTCGTCTGGGAAGCGGCGGTGTACAACGCAACGCACCACTCACACCGCCGCGCGAAGTCACTTCAACGTGGGTGAATGTATGTACATTTTGTTTCGATGAATGAACACCGTGTTCGAGAACAACCTGAGCCGTTGTGTGTCAGCTATGTATCGCGTCGGGAACGTTTGTGATCTCTTGCGCTGTCGGTGCTTCTTCTGTCTCTGTCCCGACTCGCGTGGTCCCTTTGCCGCCTTTCGTCTTCGCGGTCATCCCTCCCCCTTCGTTCTCGCTTGCGTTCGTGCTCAGGGTCCTCCCTTCGGCCTCGCCTTCCTGCATGGTCGCCCTCTCCTCTGCCGCTGTCGCGCCGCTCGAGCCCGCGTTGTTCCTCCCGCTGTCGCCGGTCACCTCCCTCCGCCTCCTGGCCCCTGTCGCGCTGCCTATGCGCAAGGTCCTCCGACGCCTCCCTCTCGGCCTGCCTGCCGCCGCGTTCGCCCGACATTCCGCCTCTCTGCTGCGCTAGCCTGCGCTCACCACAACAGCAGCAACGGCTAGGGTCAGACTGGGCCTAGGAGGGGGTAGGAAAGGCCATGGCGGCCGGCCGTCGTACTGATTGAAACGGAGGGGCTGGCGCCATGGTCGGTCTCGCCCGCCGAAGCGTATCTGCCCCGACTCCTTCTTGCCCCCGAGCCCGCCGCCTGTCCCACACGTGTCGATGGGTAAGACACACGAGCGGAGCAGGGCGTCGGCGCTGCGGCGCGTACCGAGGCGCCGCGGAACCCAGCCTGCCATGGTCCTCTCTCGCTCCATCTCCACCAGCACGCGGGCCTGATCTATGTCCTTACCGTGCATGTCCTGCCATCGTGAACGTGAGCCGAGCGAGCTCTGGCGCGCATCCAACCGCGTACGTAGCGCAAGCCAGAGGGAAGCGCACCCGGTAGGCCGCGTGTGCGTCGCTCTCGTGTTCGTACTCGACGAAGGCATAGCCTTTGGACTTGCCCGTCACTGTTGGCGCGAGTCAGCACGAGTGAGGCGAGCGTCGTGGATGATTGTTTGGGGGGGGGGGCTGATGCGCCACAAGGCGTACCGATGTCGCGCACCAGGCGCAGGTGGCGTATGGGGCCGAAGCGCTCGAACGTGGTCCGCAGCGTCTCCTCGTTTGTCACAAAGTCGAGCCGCCCTACGAACACAGTGCGGCGAGCCGAGCCCCTGATTTGTGGGTCCTGCGACGGATCATCTGTACGCCAGCGGTCAGCACCAGTAAGAGCAGAAAGATGAGCAGATTGGTGGGGGGGGCTCAGTACACTTGGCATTCAGGGCACGCAGGATGGCGTGGTCGTGTGGCTCCGGGTCGGTGCCGTCAATTGACCCCGCACGGATGGCATCATAGGGCTCGTCCGGTGCCGCAGTCCCTCCTCTCCTGTGGTCCATCCTTGGTTTCCGAACACATCTCTTTTCTTTTTGTTTTCTTTCTTTTTAAATTCTAGGAATTAATCTGTAGGGAACAAAGAAAAAAATAGTGGCCTTTTGGGGCTGAACAGCCAGAGATGGAGGTGAGGGGACAACTGGTTTTGTGGGATGGGCGGGAGGTGGAGCTGTCGGCAGGGGCGGACATCGTGATGGGGCGCGGCTCCCCACTCTTGGGTATCAGCGACAAGCGGTGCAGTCGCCGCCAGGCTGTGCTCACCTTCCTGCCCCCCGCCACCCCCAGCGACCAACCCTTTGCCCTCGTCGCCGTACGTCCCTCTTTTTTTGTTGTTCATTACAATAAATAAATAAATAAATAGAATATATTTATTTTAGGCAAACTAAAATATTACTTATTTTCCTTACGCAGCACGGGCCGAACACGACGTTCGTGAGGAGACGGGGCGCGGAGGAGCGGGAGGGAATGGCGAAAGGCGAAGTCTACTTCCTCAACGACGGCGATGTGATACGCCTGCCGCCCGACTACCACCCGATCGTTTTGCGCCTCATCAGCGTCGGCGGCGAACAAGAACAGACCCAGGTCAAGCAGCAGCGGCGCGCAGCGCCAGCGGGCCACCACGCAGTGGCTGAAGGCGGGATGCCATCGTCCATGGAGGTGAAGGAGAGCCAGCAGGAGGAGCCCCTGGCCGACCGGCGACAGGGAGGCGCAGGCAGGAAAGGCCGTCGGTGGATGCGCGATGATGCCCCTTTGACTGCGACTGAGCCAGACGGCCAACGCAAGGACGAAGAGGACGGGGGTGTGCGGAAGGACGCCGACGCCATCCTCCTCTCTTCAGTGAGCGACCACTACAGAGAATGCGTACGCACCGTTTTTCTTCTTCTGTTCAACAGGTTGGGCGGAGATGACAATTTACTGACACACACACACAACACTTTGTGGCGCAGATAAGTGCGGTGAAGCGAGTGCTGCCGGAGAGGTCGGTGAGGGAGATCATCGCCGCCCTTGTCAAATGCCAGAAGAACGTGGAACAGGCGATCGACCTCCTCGTCTCCGAGCCGGCAGACCACGCGGCGCGGGTCCAGCCGCCTCTCCCGTCATCGCCAGCGCCACCGAATGTCTCCCCTATTCGCGAGCTCTCGCCCACCGGCGCCTCCAGTCCGTTCCGCGTTCCTCAAGGTACTCTCGCGCTCCGTCCCCCTTCTTCCCTCTGGTGAATGATGGCATGACGATCTTGTTTGCCCACCAGGAGTCGACCAAGCACCCAAGGAGGCGCGAATCGACGAGTTCGCCCATGCGCCTGAGCTGCCGGAGGGGGCAGAGGAGGGAGCAGAAGAGGGAGAGCGAGCCGATGGTGGTCGGCTGATGGGCCTGCTGCCGGACTTCCGGCCGCTCTCGATGTGGTGGCAGGCAGGGTCTCCTGCCAGTGTCGACGGCAGCGCAGTCCCTCCGAGCGAGGCGAGAGAGGATGCGGTGATAATGGAAACGAGCGATTCCAGCGCGCCAGCGGAGGCCACGAGGCCTGCCAAGCCGCCGACCAGCGGGTGGATCAGACGCAAGCGTAAAAGCGACGACATCAGGCCCGGCCGTGCGAACGAGGACGCGGCGCTGCCAGAAGACGCCGGGGAAGAGGAGGAGGAGAAGGAGGAAGAAGAAGCGGAGGAAGGCCTGACCAGGAAGAAGAGGCGGACCGTAGGCCACGATCGTGACCACGACGCGGAAGAGCCGAAGCGAGAGGCGCAAGGAAAGGAGACGCAGAGTTCAGACGACGAGCTGGAAGCACGGCCAGCTGCTTCGGATCGTGACACGGAAGCCGAAGTGGTGGCGGTGGCGCGGGCGACCGACGAGCTGCCGCCGAGCGGGGATGAAGATGTGGCGGTCCTGCAGGCCATGTTCGAGGGCGTGGAGGAGGACGAGCTGCGCAAGGTGCTGCGGGAGAACGGCGGCGACGTCAACCAGGCCATCGATTCACTTCTCAACCTCATCGCCATTCGCAACGGCGAGGCGGGCAGCTTGTCCATGGACCACCGAGAAGAGCCGGAGGTGGAAGCGCGCGAGGAGATGCACACAGAAGCAAGCCATCGTGACAACGTCAACAGCGAGGACCCAGGCGAAGACCTAGGCATTGACATCGCGCATGACATGGAGCTGGGCGAAAACGAGGAGCGGATAGTAGACACTATGAAGGGTATGCTATTCTACGACGCCCCATCCTTTTCCTGTTGACCCTTCACTTTATCTTCACTGCTCACCCGCGCTCTCTGGACAGATGCCATCGTGGAGGCCTTGGCCGAGTCTTATCTGCGGAAAAAGGGCCTCGTCGGCGAAGACG